AAAGTAGAAGCACTGGAAACAACAAAGACATGACATTTTGCTAGCCATGATTGATGTGTGTGTGTGCTGAGTGTGCTATTGAGTTTATGTTCTTCAATGTCATGATGTATTTGTGTTCACTGAACTGCAAGGTGGATGGCTTCTATCCTGACACCAGGAAAGACGAAGTCTGGGACTTCTTTAGGAAGTCATATGCTGAGCGCGTGGAACAGCACCTTTCGGATATGCTCAAAACACAACCTTAGTGATATGTATAACAAGAAGCTACTAGGGCCTAGTTACTAGGGGCTCCTGGCCTTACTACGAACGGAGCATTCTTACTAGTAACAAGAAGCTACTAGTAACACGTGCATCGCTTCTAGTAACAAGTGCCTTACTAGTAGTAACAAGGACGCTACGAACGGAGCATTCTTACTTTCTGATCGAGGTTCCTGCTCAGAAGCCATGCGACGTCGTTTCCCGTCGTGTCCCGCTGTGACATGTTCGCCCCTTCAGGTGCGGACGCATTGGGGACGTTTATTTGCCACGTGACCATGTGACGCAGAAGAACAGGGGCTTTGCCTTTGTGCGTTTCTATGTGCGACACCTATGGAAGAGTTAACGATGGAATAACGATAGGGGCAAAAAGGAGTCAAGATTCTCTCATTCAGAGATGTTCTTTTTTCTCAAAAAGAAAGAACTTGGAAGGTTTCGATTTGTAAATCCGAAACAGCTTGCTGATACGCTTGTCCAGGACAAGCGAGATGCTGAGATGTGTGTCCAGGATGGAGTGGTCGAAAGTTCAAGTTGTGCGTCCAACGAGTCGAAGCATGTTTCTTTCACAACGAGTGATGTGTGAAACGATGTGAAATGCGTCTTCGGCCATCGCTATTAGGAGCAAGGACGCTACTAGGGGCGCTCTTGGCCTTACTACTAGGGGCAAGAGGACGCTACTGGGAACGCTACTGGGAACAAAGGGCATCGCTACGAACGGAGCGATCGGACGCCACTAGTAGCGAACTTTGCTCCTAGTAGTAAGGCCAGGAGCCCCGAACGTAGCGTCCTTGTTCCTAGTAGCGATGCCAGGAGGCTCCTAGTAGCGATGCCCGAAATGCTCCTAGGCCATGCTCCTAGTAGCGAACATTGTTACTACTAGTAAGGCACCTGTTACTACTAGTAAGGCACTTGTTACTAGTAGCGATGCACTTGTTCCTAGTAGCGTCCGATCGCTCCTAGGCCATCCATGTCACGAAGTGTCGAAGTGAGGACATGGATGGGCAGATGTTTCAGGGCTCCAAGCTACGAGTGAACTTTGCACAGGTGTCGAGAGGGCAAGATGGAAACAGTGATGAGAAGAACAAAAAGCACCGTTTTCCATGGACAGAATCATTATGCAAAGAGCTGGCACTCTTGATCTTTTTACCGACATGTTGTAGAAGAAAACACAATGTTGTCGAAGTGCTTCTTGAGGTGGCTAGAGGCACGGACCCTCCAGCCTCGAGCAAACGAGTCCGGTCACTGAGAAGTCAACAAAGCTACATCGAATCCAAAAAAGAAGCAGAACATCAGAACACCTTCTTTTTGTGGGGGGTAGGCCGCTAGAGAGGTAGCTAGTAGCTAGGTAGCTAGTAGTTTAAGTAGCTACTACCTTGGACACAGGAGAGCTCGCGCTAATGATTTGGTTCCTAGATTTTGAGGGAAACTTAACTAAAGCGATGGCCTCCAACCTAGTAGCTAAGAGCACATCCAATCCTGTCCTATTTTGAATCCTATCCTATTTAAATCTAGTAGCGAACATTGCTCCTAGTAGCTTCTTGTTACTACTAGTAAGGCACCTGTTACTAGTAGCGTGGCACTTGTTCCTATTTCATCCATTTAACTGGAGAATTAAAGCAAACTGGACAGAATCCTCCCCCAGGCCAGAAGCTGCTCTCGAAGTGACAGGCCGCTGTCAGATTGACCTAATAGCGATGTCCCAAAAACAAAGAAAATAGAGAACAAAAAGAAACCTAATGGCGATGGCCTCCAACCTACAACCTAAGACCTTCAAGACCTGTCAGGAGAGAGCGAAGCAGGATAAGCAGAAGCAACCCGGCCAGAAGAGTGTCAAAAAGGGTAGTATATAGGCTATAGGTATAGAGTAGGAGTAGGAGTATTAGTAGTAGAATAAGAGCCTGGTGTAGAAGACAGGAATGTATTTCGATATACTAGATCAGCTTTCAATTTGTCTTGGCTAGCTGAGGGTTGAATGAAAGGAAACGTGGAGTGTAGGAGCTGAAACGCAGAAACGGGGCGAGTGAATCATATCTCGAAAGCAATGGCCTCCAACCTAATATAGTGATGGCGTCCTTGAAAGAAAGCACAGTTATCCTGGATGTCACTGGACAGGTACATTATGGTTTATTTATCGTCGTCGTTTCCTGTGAATTTCCTTCTCTCGGTAAATGAGTTGGACTATCTAAGTCACTCAAGCCACTTGATATGTTCTTTTGCTTCATGAGAGCAAAATTGAATGTTCTTGTGAGCCAAACAGTAATTACAAGTGCATCGCTAGTAATAACAAGTGCCTTACTGGTAGTAACAAGAAGCTAGTAATTACAATTCTAGTTAAATTCCTAACTTGTTACTACTAGTAAGGCACTTGTTTCTAGTAGCTTCTTGTTGCTACTAGTAAGGCACTTGTTTCTAGTAGCTTCTTGTTACTACTAGTAAGGCACCTGTTTCTAGTAGCTTCTTGTTACTACTAGTAAGGCACTTGTTTCTAGTAGCTTCTTGTTACTACTAGTAAGGCACCTGTTTCTAGTAGCTTCTTGTTACTACTAGTAAGGCACTTGTTTCTAGTATCTTCTTGTTACTACTAGTAAGGCACTTGTTTCTAGTAGCTTCTTGTT